GTCGTTTACAATATTTGCCTTATAAGCATAATCGATGCAGTTTCTGATTGAGCTACAAAAATACTAGTTCATAATACGATTAAGGGCATAATACGATTAACTGTCCCGAAGAAATTTGAGCCCGATGCATTTAACACTTTTTGCGCGACATGGGTTCAGACACGAACGCATCGGCGCTTTTGCCACCCAGAAATTTTGCAGTTTTTGAAAGCAAAATTTCTCCTCGAATATTACACCGATAAAGCCAAAAATATTACCAATTACTAAGTTTCACAAGCTGTTTAAATGTTTGTAGTCAATTTGTGTTTGGCGTGATGCGGTTTTGGCGCAAAGATTCTCTTTTTGCGCTTTGATTCGCCTTTCTTGAATGGCCATTGATTTTGAAGCTCAAATGCTAACGCTCAAGATGTTGGATGTATTCCGCTGCTGCTTTTCCGAAAGTGAACTTAAACGGGAAGCCGAAGCCATGTTTGCGAAACACAAACTCAAGTTCAAGCGGGCGCTGATTTCAAGACCGCGCTTCTCAGCAGCCATTTGAGTGCTTTGCTTTGATTTGCGAAGTGATTCTACTCTGTACAGTGATTGGTCATATTTTTCACATGTGAAGAATGCTATACGCGAAGCTGATTGGACGTATCGCTCTTTTCACATGTAAAAATATAGCACATATAGAATTCTATTTGCAAGTTTTATTGCCTAAAATTCTCGCTATATATACAATAAAATAGCTTTCTGGCGGTCTGCAACTGGGCGTTTAAAGTTTCCATAATGCTAAAAGTGAGGCTTCTCTTTTACTTTTGGTTTTTCCATTCGTTCCTTAACATACCGTCCCAATTAACTGGTGTTATTGGCGGTTAGTGGTTGGTTTTTGTAAGTGTTTCCAAATATCTCAATAAATGGACGAACAAAAGTAAATGCCACTTTGATCAATCAATGAGATACCAAAATTCAGTTATTTTTTCGGCGACATGCCAGTTAATTTAAAATTCAGTTGTCTCAGTACTCTTTCACAGTACTTTTCAACAATCTACAAAGAAGGACAGCTCATTTTTCTACTCCAATTAGAAACAACTTGCTCTGAGTCACGACTGCTGCTGCAAGAACCTCTGCAACCTTTTTGTTTGTATATTTCAGAATTTCCTATCAACGGGACTGGGGAAAAGCTTATGGCAAACACTACTTTTTAGCCATCCACGGGCTTTTAAATTCGGATTGTCTCTTCTATGGTGTGCTGTTTAATGTGTAATTCAATTGTCTCATCAATCTTCTACAGTAATTTTCAACAATCTGTACATTTGACGAGCTCATTCTTGTTCTCCAATTAGAAACAACTTTCTTTGAGTCACGACTGGTGCTGTAGGGACCTCCTCTGCGACCATTTCGTGATGTTGTTGCCTCTTGCAGCCATTTCTTGATGGTATCTAACATTTCAATTCCTGTAAAGTTGTACAGATCACTCACCACTGGCAATGGATTCAGAGCAACAGCTTCAAACCGGATTAAGTTGTACCCATCAGGTAGAAATGTCCTAATCAACTTCCCAATCTTTAAATCAAACTCCTTTTGATGGTAAATTCTCTCCACATACCATGATAATTCACGTTTAGGCTCATTTGGTTGCCTGAAAAAATTCAGAGACTTCAAGGACTCAACAACTGCTCTTGGATCTCTGACCAAATGAATTATTTTACATTCACTCGCACCGTTGGAAGAACAACTTTGCAAAACATTTTTGTTCCAGTCATTATGAGAAATTGATATTCTAGGTGTGAATATTTTCGCAGCAAACACACTGTAATTATTATTACATACGGTTTCAAGTTGTTGTGGTGTTAACTTGTGACACACGGTAGATTTTCCATTTTTGACACAAAATGGAGGAGAGTTTAGGGCAAGGGTACGTTTACGAACTTTCGGGACAAGGTGACGGATAAAGAGGCCACTGTCAACTGAAACTTGCAGTTCATCATGTCTGAAAAATTCAAATGCCTTCTTTTGATGAGATGGCGATGAATGCTCAAACTCGAAACCTGCAGCTTTGGTTAAACTGTTTTGCAAAGGACCTAATGGCTCAAAAAGGTAGAAAACTCCTGGGTGCTGGTGGAAAATTGCGCCCAGAAATGAAGATCCCGATCGTGGAAAAGACATCAAAATGATATTCACTCTCTTGGGATGCTGTAATGATTGTTCGTTCTTCTTTGAAGTGTTTTGGAGTTTTAATTCAGGGGAAATGGCCTGGAAAATTGTTTTGTTTGTAAAAGCATGATAAATTCCACTCCGTAGTGGGCTCTTGATGGTGTACATGAAAGTTAAAGAGAAGAATACTAAACCCATTGAACAGGACATGAAAGATATCTTGGAAACGAAGCAGATGCGCCATGTATCTCTCCTAGCTTGTTGACTCGTCGTCTGGAGTGCTAGTGGCAGCCTGCAGGAGAGATATAACAGATGATTCTATCAATCCTGAAAATGTTCAATTAATTTGAAATACTCTACTTGATTACCCTTGAGACGTCAACTTAAACTGACCGTAGGTGAACACAAAGATTAATTGCCTCTAAGCTATTTTACCAAAAACGAAAGCGAAACCAACCTTATGAATAGCTAAAAAACTTTAAAAAACTAAAAACCGGGCAGAGGAGTCACCTTTTATTTATTTATTTTTATTTATTTATTGTTACCACTAGTTTTATCGTTTGTTGTTAAACCTGTTTTAGGTATTTTAATGTAAGTAATTATGTAGCTTTTTTGTACGTTATTCTGTATGTGAACAAATAAATGGATAAATGAAAAAAAAACCTTATGAATAGCTTATCGAATTTAATTCTGAAAAAAAAACTTCCACGGCAAGGTATTTTTAAAAATCGCTTCGTGGCCTCAATTGCCCCGAGAAGACGTCAAAAAAAATTAAATAATAATAATAATAATGATAATAATGATAACAATAAAAATAATGAAAATAATGAAAATAATAATAATAATAAATAGCATTTTATTCTTTTCTTCTACTTTCGGTTCTAAAACATCTGAAGACAATTTGTAACCAGAAAATTAAAACAAAACATGAAACAAACTATGGATTAGTGCTAATGTTCGCTTTCAAATATGGCGCCACATCTAATGCGTCTACTACATTTCTTCTATAATTAACCACTTCATTCAGTGACATCTTAAGAGCTTCTGCTTGAGAGACCCGGGCAGACTCGTAAATGAAGGTTGGCCAATTTCCCTAAGAATCCACACACAAAGTCTTTATGCAGACTTCTGTAAAATGTCAAAGTTTTAGATTCATTGACCGTTTTCCAACTGAGTTCTGGATATCAGCCCCATGGGGATCCTGTGAGGTGAGGTTATTTTTTTAGTATGGCTGCCATGTTGCGCGACGTAGTCGTCCGTCGACGTCGCCGTAGGGATCACGCGCCCGCTATCCATGCCGCTAGCCATGTTGACCATGAAAAAAGAATTGCATGGTTTTGTATTTTTGCGCATGTACGTGGTTCTGTTTCCTATAGTTATGGTGCTCCGCTAAAATACAATACAGTACAATACAATACAATGCAATGCAATGCAATACAATGCAATGCAATGCAATACAATGCAATGCAATGCAATACAATGCAATGCAATGCAATGCAATACAATGTCATACAATGCAATGCAATACAAGGCAATGCAATACAATACAATGCAATAAATACAATACAATACAATACAATGCACTGCAATACAATACAATAGAATGCTATGCAATGCATTGTAATACAATGCAATGCGATGCAATACAATGCAATGCAATGCAAGACAAGTCAAGAGACTACAGTACAGTACAGTACAGAAAGTCAAAACAAGAAGAAAACTGTGTCGCGCAAAGTCTGTTAGATAAAGGAACTTAGTAAATATTCATATTATGAATATTTACCAAGTTTCTTTATTTTGCAGTACAGTATAGTACAGTACGGTACAGTACGGTATGGTACAGTAGAGTACAGTAGAGTACAATACAGCACATTGTACTAAGCTTAGCTTTGTGTGAGGTGTGACATCACATGTAAAATAAAATGACACACTAATTAATTTGCTGGTGTTTCAAAATCCTTGCGTCACCTAGAAAATGATGTTAGGAACATCGAAACGTCAGACAATTGTAATTTCAAAATTCCACAAAAATTAAAACTAGAACCAAATTTTATAAACTAGTGTAAACAAATAAAAAAGTATAGGTCAGGATGATGAAATGAAATCTGAAATAATGACTCGTTATGCTAGAAAGTAAAAACGAATCATATGATAACGCCAGCGCTCAGTGGACAGTATGATAAAAGCATACACAGTACATTTTCGTCCACACGAGTCTAGCGTTCGTTTACGGATGTTATACAACTCTCCCCCTCGTAATTTATGCAACAGAGTGGAATTCGTATGAAGACATGATTAATCATCGCAGTTATATAAACAACTTAACGAAGCTGTGAAATTAAAGCCTGTTATTTTTATGCCTGACGGCTAAATTTCTAGCCCTTTTAATTAGCGGCTAACAGTAATCGCCATTGAGACCCTCTATTCACTCTCACTACTCCCAATTGGGAAGTTCTTGGTTCGATGATTCAAACAAGACAAACTAAATATTATATTATATTGGTATACCCATGAGATCCATGGTTAAACCTCTTTTAACCAAAGACTAGCCAATTAGGAAGCAGTCCACAAGGTGTGAGATAAACATAATTATGCAAAGCCCTAAGCCACGAGTGAAAATAGCAGTTTGACCATATTTCTTAAATTTTGAAGACGGTTATGACTTAGAGTGCGTTCCTTTGGGGTGATCTGGATCAGGATCAGTGATCCAAGATCACTCGGATCATAGTTCATCAAAGGAACCGATGAATCC